TTCATCTATTCCACTCACACACAATTATACACACAATTATACACACAGGTTAACATATATTGTTACACATTGTATACAAAACGAAATACTGGACACTTCGTTTATAGTTTAACCATAGTTCTTAGACTCTATTCTATCTTGTTCATGTATTTTACACACACACACACAATTGTACACATAGGTTAACATATATTGTTACACATTGTATACGAAACGAAATACTGGACACTTCGTTTATGGTTTAACCATAGTTTTCAGACTCTATTCTATCTCGTTATTGTATTGCACGCACACACACACACACACACACACATATACATATATTGTTACACATTGTATACTTATATATATATATATATAAGATAGACTATTTTCTAAGAGACGTTGGAATGAACGCACTCTGTTCTTTCTCTTTATCTTTGTTTCTCTCTCTTTCTCTTTGTTTCTCTCTCTTTCTGGAGAGGACAACTAGCCTAAGCTAGCTTAGGTTTATTCGCTAACTTGCCTCGAGATAGCCTCGAGCATTCTCAAGAGTCTCTGTTAGCTGCTTACTTCAAGATTTCCTATCGAGATATTATATTATATTAAAAGAGATTGGATTATATATTTTATAACTTCCGTAAATTCCAGTCACTTTAATCGTTGAGACTGAGTCAAACAAGATTATTTCTCATAAATAATATTTCCCATAGGGAAAACTTCTATATATATATTATACTATTGTTTAATGAAATTTTGTATATTTTTATCACGAACGTGTTTGATTATATATTTTGATTAGGCGTGTGAGAAAGAAATGAAAAATTGTACGAATGAAAATCTAAACGAAAGTAGAAAGTTTCTTTTGTTTATTATTTTTATATTTTACACACACACACGTTAAAATAAGGATAATATTATTATAGAGATTCGTTTTATAGAATATTTGTATAATATATTTAATTATTAATATTTATTATATTACTTTTGTTTGTATATTTTTGTAGAATATACAAAATATGAAATTCATTTGTTTTTTATGGTTATTATACTAAAAGTTGATTGGTTAGTCGCCTAAACAGGCAATGCAATGACTATAGAAACATGCGAGGGAGATCAAGATACCACCATAACAAAACTCTCCGAGCCATACAGTCATATTTTACACTTTTTTGTGCATGGGGTTCTTTAAAACTACTGTAAATTTGTATACATTTTTTTTTAACACTAACAAAGACAAACTCTGAATTTTTTTTTATGAGGACTATGAGAACTGTACATTGCATCCTTTTAAAAATATTTATACTCAACAATCATTTGGAAAAAGAAATATATGGGAGTTAAAGTTTCGCAAACATTTTTATGTACTTTTATTTCTTTTTATATGTAATCAGGTTTCAGATTTTTATTGGACAACTTACAAAGTTTTGTACAATGTGTTTTGTTTCTATTTTTAACATAAATATTTTTTCACTATCGATAACGTAATGAGTAACAGCGCGGTCTCGTATTCGTAATGTCACCGGATCGAATCCTCGTACGGGAAAACTTTTTTTTACATTTTCTTTCCGTTATTGTAAACTATGTTTAGTTAAATTTATTTATTTTTACTTTAAAATATGTTATATTAATTTTATAGGGAATAATAATAAAATATAAAAAGAAAAGAGGTATCATTTGTATTATAAAACGTGTTAAATATTTTCTATTAGCAAACACGTTTTTATTTTATTCAAAAATCAATACAATTTAATACAATAAAATATAATATTGAAGATTCAATTTGTATTAAACAAAATCCATCTAGTGTTTTGGTGAAATTTCATGTAAAAACATCTTTTTTAACGAGTTATGAATATATTTCTTTTGTTTATTATTATTTTTTCTTTTGTTTTCTTTTCTAAAAGGATCGTAAATAAAATGATGACCCACTTTTGTCTTGTATAATTCACAGGATGAGGGAATACGTCGAAGAAAATGAAAAGAACGACCCGTTGATACACGCGCCTGACAAAAAGAACAATCCGTGGGCCGAGAAAGGCAAGTGCATAATCATGTAAGAAAAAAATAAAAAAAAAAGGAACGAACGAAAGGTGGATTACGAAGTGGGAGAAAAGAAAAGGCACGGAAGTTATGAAGAAAAATAATCAGAGATAAACGATTACGTGGAAAATGATTTTAAAGACGAAGAAGAAGAAGAAGAAGAAGATGAATTACAACAAAAAAATAATCTTAATGTGTTCTACAACCGAAGATAATGCATGCCATAAAGATGCTAAAAAAAATCGTATTCTAAAAAAAAAGAAAATTGAATTGAAATGAGAAACAAAATAATAAAAATATGAATAAACAAATAAAAATGGCCATTCAACCAAAGTCTTCGTCACGTGGAAGGGAACACCCCCATCGATCGTGATCTATGGATCAAATATAATATATATGACAGAATATGTTTGTATGCGTGTAAGTATGTATGAATATGTTTGTATGTATGAAAGAAATTTGTTTAAATGATCGTACATATATATATATGCTTTTGTTTGTACATCAAATGTTTCACTTGTCATGGGAAAACAAATGAAGTATTATTAGATGATCCAAATAAACAAACAAACATGATTAAAAATGAATGTGATCGTTTATTCGAAAGCTTTGAGAGTACGACAGTAATTCAATTTTCATACTAATCGAAACTTGTTTCAAAAATCTTGTCACATTTTGAAAAACATTAACTTTGAATACAACCATTGAAATCTGTAATAATATTACTTTCACCTTTTGTTCTCACTTACGTAAGCTACACGTACTTTAAACAATCATTTTCAACTCGTATTTATATATATAAATGTATGTATGTGTTTTGTGTGTTGTATCGTAAAAAATCGAAATTAAATATTGTTTAAGATTTACTTGGTATATGTGTTAGAAATATTAATATACAAATAATCCAAATGTTTGTTTATTCAACAAATTCAATCATGCGAATCTTGACATTATACAATTTCGATATTTCACGTTAACTTATGCATGTATGTATGTATGTATGTATGTATGTATTTATGTGTGAATTATTTATAAAACATTTAATTAATTAAGAAAACTTTCTATATGTTCTATATAATACATTTTTTCGTATTAACACGATTTATTATTACAAAAGCTTTTGTATATCGTAAAAAGGTTTTTCAAACGTAAGAAGAAAACAGAAGTACACATGTAAATGCATTTTAAAATGCAAATGAAACAAATCATTGCGAAAATTCAAGGGGGAGGTTAAAACAAAAAATGTAGAAACACATTCTTCCCCCATACATTTTTATAAAATAAATGAAATCAAATGTTAAGAGAAATGGGAGACGAAATTCAAATCATTTATCATAATTGAAACAAAAAAATTGTGTGTGGATCATTGATTGAAAGAGAAAACTAAAAAATAAAAGAAATTCAAGAAAAAGTGTTCTTAAACTTTAGTTTAAGATCAATTTATTACGAATTAAATAATTCTTACGATAATACAAAAAAAAAAGACAACATAATCGATCATTCAATTTAGAAATCCACAGGTGACACATACAAACACACACACATACGCATAAGCATACGTTTACCACACTTATATCATAAAATACTTCTGGATTTCATATCTCGGTAAGAGTACTACTATTGAAATATATAAAAACAATAAAAAAAGAAAATAAAAATAACAAAACAAAACAAAAAAAAGTAACATACCACAATTATCATTTGAAATATATTTATCCTCTTATGTGTCTACAAAATTTGAATCGTAGGCCATACGATTTTGTCTCATTATATATATAAATAATTAT